TGCAATTTTTGAGTGTTTTGTTCCATTGGCTTGTAATTTCAGGAATGTGTAAGTTACAGTGGTCTACTCTGAATTTTTCCACTTTTTCCAGCACACTACATTAAACTGAATATCAGTGTACTTATAATCTAATTTTAATGTGAATTTAACCTTGTAACTTACTACTCTATGTTATAAAATTTCCATTGATCTACTGTTTAGGAGTGAATTTTCCATCTAAATTCTGTCTGCCATGTGAGAGTCAGATTAGGGTTTTTCTGTACAAATTTTGGATTTGTTTGTGTTTAGGTTGGGTGAGCGCAGATGGTCATTTTGATCTGTTTTGATTGTTCTAGGTGTGTGAGTTGGGCAGGTTTTGTGCTCTTGTACTTCTGAATGTGTCATGTCTGGCCATTTTGGGATCTGAACATCACAATTTTGGGACTAAGTGTGATCTCTGTCCTAACTTGGGCATTTATGTTGCTACTGGAACTGCAAATCACAATTAACAAGGAGATTAGGACTGTGATATTGCACTGAATGTCCTCATTATCTGGTGCCGCTGTAACTAACGGCATATCCGTTATGTGATCTGATATCTTTTTTATTGTAGTCTGGTAATTCTTAGTGGATTTCGTAGTGTAATTACTTTATCTTTTTAGTGTAATTACTATAGTGTAACAACAGTGATTGCATCTAATCTTTTTGAATGTAATCTAGTAATCCTAGTGGATTCACACTGTAATTCTCAATGGATTTTCACTCTAATTCCCAATGGGTTTACACTGTAGTTCTCACTGGATTTTACAGTGTAATTCCTAGTAGATTCTATAGTGTAATTCCTAGGGGGTTTACAGTGTAATTCTTAGTGAATTTACACTGTAATTCTTAGTGGATTTGGTATGTAATTCCCATTTTTAGCATGTAAGTGTTCATGCTTTTCCCCTTTTTTAGCTACATGCGCTAGTTCGGCGTTGGATTTTGCATCCTTCAGTTGTAGCTTGATGTAAGATCGCTCTGCCCTGTATGTGTGCTTTGATTTTCTCAAGTTTGGATATGTCATTTTAGGAACTAGAGATTCAGTTGCTTTGTGTTTTCGTTGTCCCCGTTGGTGCGGATAGTATATTGTCCTGAGCATGTCGTAGTGTCATGATTTTCTCCACCATTTCTTAGTTTCTTGTAATGTTTATTTTTATTGTGGCTTGTATATGAATTCACAGTGCATTCGTTGGTGTAATTTTAGCTGTATTGTAGTGTAATTTGGAGTAAATTAGTTTTTACCAGTTATGTATGTATTCTTGCTTGATGCTAATGTTAGTTTCTGTTTGTTTTTTTCCAGCATGTTTTGGATAGTTTTTTATTTGTTAGGCTCTTTAGTTAATCTTCTGTAATACAATTCTAATTGAAGTAGGTTTAAATGTTACAGCTATATTTTACTGTGATTTTTATTATATGCCCCTGCACCCACTTCAAATGTAATTAGATCATTTTTGTGCCTGCAAGCAACACAATATAATTGCTTTATTTTGTGTACCTACAGTTGCTAGGTTCGAGTTTTATTGTATGCTTTGTATGCTTACCGTTTTTCTCTTCCCCGTTGGTGTTAGGAGGTGTTTCTGCATATTTGAATTCATTGTTCTGGTCAGTACTATGCCATTCCATGTAGTTTGTCATGTCAGGCTCAGGCTCCACGTATTGTTGCTGCACAAAGTAAATCAATGTTATATCATTAGCCGATGAATAGTGTCGGTAGATTTTCTCTATTTTAGTTTTCTATGTATTTTTGCAATGCAGCTACGCCTTGTACATCATTTGCGCCTGAAGTAGCTCAGTAAAAGAGTATGATCCACTTTGTTATTTGTCAGGAAACTAGTTAGAGAAAGCATGTTTTTGATAATGTTTTTTGTTTTCAGGATTGTTTTCTGCTATTAGATAGCCATATGTTAAGGAAATCAACTTCATCTTTCTTGAGGTACATCGCCTGTCCTTTGATGCTGCATTTCATTGCATTTGGTTCGATTGTAGGCACCTGCACTCAATATTTTGAGTAAATTATCTGTTAATGCAAACAAGTATTCAGTTCTGAACTGTAAATAAACGCAGAGTAATTTTGCAAAGAAGGTCCCAGTAATTTTATCTAACAGTCACAAATTTGTCCTTTCAGTTCTGAACTGTAAATATGTTATCAGTTTTGTTTGTTGCTACTAGTGTGAGTGCCTTCTAGCGTGAATGTTTTTAGCCTGATTTTTGTTTGTCATTTTTCTGTTAATTTCAATTTTTAGTGCTTATGTTAATGCCTATCAATATTCAGTGTAAGCAAGCATCAGATCATAGCAGTTTACACTTCCAAAGTTACTTAAATTCAGTCCTTCAATCACAGGTACAGAGTAGTTTTTAAGAACAAGTAGAAAGTGTCTAAAACTAGCAGATCAAAGTCTCTTAACAGTGTTTGGTCTTTCAGTTTCCAAAGTCTGTGAAAATAGCCATATTTTCTCTCAACTGGAGCAATCCTCCCCCTTGCATGTTTTTAACTAGTTTTCCCAAAATGGAATTGCTAGCTTCCTGAGCATGTTTTGATCCCTGTTGTGTGTTTATTTCTGCAAATTCAAAAATATGATCTGGGCATCTAGTTTTCAGTTTTCCTGTGATCATAGACTACTAGTTCATGCGACCATATCCTAGTTCTTCCTAGGGTTTCTCTTGGCTCATGCTTTTGCGTGATTTTGTTCCTATTTTCGATCTGTGTAGATTTTGGCTTAACTTAGCCTATGTTGATGATCCACTACAGGTATGTTCTTTCTTCCAGATTTGTTCCGGCAAGAGAGAGACGACAGGAGGTGATGAATGCACAGGAGGGGTGGTGTTTACCCGTGTTTTTTTTTTTGCTTCTCCAGCCATGTTTGTGTTCTAGATCATGGATGAATCGCTCTCTCTGGTGGCGCTTCTCCAGGGATAAATTTGGTACTTCCTCAGTGGAATTGTAATGTAATTCTTTTGTGTGTTTTTAGTGGAATTACAGTGTACTTTTAGTGGAATTACAGTGTATTTTTAGTGGAATTACGGTGCATTTTCAGTGGTTTTTACACTGTAATTGTTAGTGGAATTACAGTGGAATTTACACTGTAAATCTTAGTGGGTTTACAGTGTATTTTTAGTTGATTTTTGCTCTGTATTTGCAAGTGGCATTTTTAGTGGAATTACTGTGCATTTGCAGTGGTTTTTACACTGTAATTATTAGTAGAATTGCAGTGGAATTTACAGTGTAAATCTTAGTGGGTTTACATTGTATTTTTAGTGGATTTTTGCTCTGTATTTGCAAGTGGCATTTTTAGTGGAATTGCAATGGATTTTTAGTGGATTACTGTGCATTTTCCGTGGTTTTTACACTATAATTATTAGTGGTATTTTAGCCCTTTGTATAGTTGATTGACAGCATCAGCAACTGTAATTTCTCAGTATTTTAGTGCTCAGAGTGTTATTCGGCGCTGTGTGGTTAGATGTCATCAGTTTTGATCCTTTTCATCCTCCTGTAGTTAGCTTAGTCCACCTTTTGGTAGCTTTTAGCTGCTTTCTGTACGGGTTTGGGGTGTGGACCCATTTATAGTTTGGTGGGCAGAAAGAATAGGGGAATAGAGGACACGAGACATGTGACATTTGTCATCCTTTAGTCGACTGAAAAATATGAATGAAAGCGAATTAAATTTCATCCGAATGTAGAATAGACAGTCCCAAATAAAAAAACAATCCAACTGTGTATCCCGTCAAGCTGTGTAGGCTCCACCCTCACGCCGTGTGCCATGGTTTCCTACAACAAGCACCTGCCGAGCACAAGCAACTCGGCGGGAACGCCGCCACGCTCGCTCCGCAGAGTGCGGCCTCCCCTGTGTCCGCTATCGTGGCCGTGCCGCCGCCAACGCATCAGCGAGGACGTCGCTTTCGAGTCAGGAACGTGATCGCTACGCGTGCGCTAGCGCTTTGCTGGGCTTCTCTTGGATCGCAAGGTTCGGTTTTATGGGATTTTACGCTTTACGTTCGTATTAGGAAAGAGTGATGTATGTCGAGGCATTTTATCTTTTACGTATAGGAAAGAGTAGGAAAGAGGGTCGAGGAATTTTAGGCTTTACGTTCCAGGAAAGAGGGTTAGAACTTTACGCTCCAACTTTCGAGGTGGTTTTGGTCGAGGAATTTTACGCTTTACATTTAGGAAAGAGCCAAATTGGTCGAGGAATTTTAGGATGGCAGTTTGGGCTACAGAGCCTCCAACCTGATCAGGTGCACAATCCTTCCATCGGAAGAGGTTTCACTCTCATTTCAACTCTCTATCACAAACCTACAGTTCCCAATGAATGGCTCCCAGCAGCTCTGCCTCAAAGGAAGGAATGCTCCATCAATATCCTTCTGTCCAATTCCAAGCTATTCTTATTGCGAGATTACTCTGCACACGACAATGTGCAAGATGATCTGCAGACGACCTTGTGATCAATGGCTGCAGACCACATGAACTGAGGTGATCGATGGCTGCTATATCTTAGTCATCCAGAAATCTTGCACTATCAGTTCTCTGTTCTTATTGACTCTATTCACTTGCCACTCCCCTTAAGCTGCCAATTTTGTTCGAATTCTAATTCTAATTTATATATTTTCTTATTTCGGGTTTATACAATTCATAAATGGACCATAGACGTAGTCAAAGCACACACGAATAATTAAGGTTTACAATTCATACAATGACCATAAGACATAGTGCATATTTGACTACTTACAAACAATCAAAACAAAGCTGAAAAAGCTCACATGAATAGTTGGATAAGGCTGAGATAATTAAGGTTTACAATTCATACACTGACCATAGGACATGGTGCATATTTGACTACTTGCAAGCAATCATAAGTAAGAAAGCTAACAAAGCACACATGAATAGTTGGATAAGGCTGAGATAATTAAGGTTTACAATTCATACACTGACCATAGGACATGGTAGTTGGATGAAGCGGAGACAATAAGTCTGACTAGCCCTAGCCCTAGCCCAAAGCAATAAATTCCTCATTAAACCTAGCACCATATACTCCAGTAAGAAGTCCTTGCAGAAGATGCCTGAGATCATCATCAAGAAGAGGCCGCTGTCACACACAAAAAAAAAGCAAGTTAAGCATACAACCAACCAAAAGAATACTACTACATATGACAATTTCTGATTGGTAAATTTACCCTACTAATATCATACTGGTGATAATGAGCTATGACTACTTTGGCAAAGTGCAAGGCTCCAAAAACTGTTTGAGCAAACCCCACCCCCTGGGTAACTTCAATTTGATGGACCAGAATCGCTGTAAGAGACGGGTCTCCAACATTGCCTTGCCACCCCTGTAAGAAGATATGGTTCTCCAACCAATCTATTTGGTCATCGGTAAAAAAAAATCCTTCTTCATATAATCTTTTATACTTGCTCTCCCTAACGTGGGGGACTGTGACTAGGAATGGATGATCGAGGACATCTTGTTTCCTGCCATATTAATAACAGTAGGGTTAACTTTCTGCCATATTAATAACAATAGAGTTAACTAAAGATGACGGAGATGATGGTTAATGTTAGAAGAGTTGGCTAGTGCATACCTTATGTTTATATTTGGGTTAATGAGGAATGCATTGAAGTGCGCTAGTTCAATATCATCTGGCCAATGTTGCAAAATATTGGTCTGTATCAGTAGTTGCAAACCCTGCCTAGGTGTCATCTCATCATCAGGAGTCCTTCCACGAACTCGGAATGGCATAATTTGGATCATATTCTCATTAATAGCGTAAGTTCCAATATCTTCCACATTATCTACTGTCCACTGTTTGTCCCATAACCTCTCCAGTGCCACATACAAAGACCTACCATGATTATACAAATAGATAAATTTTCAGCACACCAGCACAATAGCACAATTCAATGGGACAAATCTAAAGTGAAAAACAACTGGCACAATCCTAGCACAGTATGAGGCAAAGTACATTCTAATGAAAGATAAAGGTACGAGATAAAGCACAATCAAAAAGACTACTAATATATGGGGCAAATACAAGTGTACGAGGCAATGTAAAGTGACATGGAGATAAAAGGATTGATAAGCAAATGTAATCTCTAGAGAATAAAGAGGGGAGAAGGATGGCCATACCTAATACTATTTCTTAACTGATCACGAACGAACATACTGTTATCTGGATTTGCTATCCAGGAGAGCACACTTTGTTGAGAGCGAGCAAAGGCAATGATTGTTTTTCCAATTAGGGTATTATAGGCCACGCCGTAGGTCTTAACAATCCCTACATCAATGGATGGATTTAGCCCCAATGGGTTTAGCTGACCAAAAGGCACTTCATTCAGAACCCAGAAGGTGGCAGCTCGTTTCTGCAGTTCCTCTGAGTCAAATCCTTGTTCTTTATCCGCAGCAAACTTTATTGCCTTGCTTGAATAATAGATATAACCATCTTTAAATCCAAGTTCTGCAGTTTGTGGACAGCTAAATTCGTAGGGCTGAATAAGAGTGCCACACCTCCTAGCATTAGTACGAAAGTTTCTGGCTTCTCTGCATATCTCAAAGATGGTTTTCTCGTTCCTCTACAATTAGACGAGGTGGGGATGATTATGAGGTTGAAACAAGAAGGACAAGGAAGAATTGGATGGAAACAAAGGTATACTCTGTTTATACTTACATGGGGTGGTGGTTCTTGCACTTCCATTGGATCTGGATTCATGCTGAGAAATGAACAAAACCAAACAAACAAAAATGAGAAACCAAAAAGAAACAAAAACAAGGAACGGGGGAGGAGGAAGAAACATACCTCGGCTTTCTTTTCTCCTCTTCGTCTTCTCCCAGAGCGAGCCAAGGAGGGCGGCGGCGAGATCTAGGGTTTCGGCTGTGGGAATGGGGAGAAGGTGACTGTTTATTATATGGCGGAGCGAGCGGCCACCATAACCTTAACAATTTCGGTGTGGGCTACTTAGTCTGCATGGGCCACATTGCCTAGGCCTGCGCGATTATTTCTGCCTTTTTGCATTTTTTACCTGGGCCTGGATAATAAATGATGCACAAGCTGGATTTCAAACGAAGTACTAAAAAAAGTGCGGCGTGACACAAAAATAAAGAAGGAAAGAGAATCTATTTATATTATAAGACTATAAAATTATTTAACCATTGATCTCGATTATAATGATTGAGATGTAAATGTCTAAAAGTTAAATAAAATATCTGTTAGGTGCAAATATTGTCATGTATTAACTTGGTAGTCAGAAAAAAAAGGTGACGTAACTAAGCCTAAATAATAGCCAATCCGACATTAGGTTTAGATGTCTCACTGATCAGTGGGACCCACTAGTCAGGTTTGACCATTCAGCAATCAACTGTAGCCTACTGACTCAGCGTCACTGGGCCCTTCTGTCAGCCTCTCAATGCACTTTGTTGGGTACACTTCTGTGTACCCGTAGCAATTTAACCATTTAATTACGAATTAATAATAATTTTAGAAAATATTTAAAACTCTGAATAATCATATAAAATAATCCATAACTCAGATGTAATAATTTATATATGAAAAATGATCAGAAAAATAAGACAAATGCAAATATGCCATCCACATACCTGCCACGTGCCTTCAACACAGCAAACATGGAACCTTTCCCTCCGGATCATCTGATCGATAAATGCCTGGAGCCGGGAAAATACTCTCGGATATTTTCCGCTCCGTCTATAACACCTAGCACTGCATTAGGTCACCCCTAGCACATCATATCGCCATGTCATGCTTTCTGCTCAATCTGTGTGCTTTATATTTACTGTTTATTCCCCCTCTTCTTCTCCGGTAGACCCCGGGACCGACGCCGACGCCACCGAGTACAACTATGTTGCAGATTTCAGCCACTTGCCGCAGAGCTTCCAGGCAAGCAAAACCCCCTTGATCATTTATATATCGCCCATTCTTTCTCTCCCATGCTTGCATTAGATTTTGCTACTGTATTCCTCACTCACCACTCCCGATGATGACTCTATCGTGCAACACCTCAAATGTGAACCCTTCGAGGGTGATTCCTCCAAGGTCACCTTGACGGTTACATCGAGTAGGAATCCATCGAGGGTGATTCCGCAGATTCCCCCTTGATGTTATGATCACACGGATACCTTGACCTTCACCTCAGTCCTTTGTTGAAGTCGGGTTGACCCAAGGGGTACCCACGAGATAATGACGCGGCACGACCGGGCAGGCAGGCCGCCCTAGAGAGGGATGGGCCTGACCCTTGTCGTAAGTTCGCGAGACGGGGCGATAGGAGCACTGATCGTCATCGCGAGCTCCCAACACACGAACGGGTTTGGATATATGATTTGAGTAGGCCTCTGCCTTTTCGCACTAACCACCACACGGAAATAAGTATGGGCACTCGACATCATACGATTCTCCCGAAAGCTCTTCGGACAGTTTAGAGATGTGGGCTGATTGTTGGGGTGGACGGTAACCGCCTACGCTTGTATAAGGAGGTGGGTTTGGTCCCCGACCAGTCGCGCAACGCTAGGATGATTGGCCCATAACCCTTTCGCACTTAAGATGTAGACCGGCGTGCTGACCTCTCTGTTGAGTCTAGGTAGGACTACGGCGTGTCAATCAGCCAAGGCTGGGCATGACCGGGAAAAGTGTGTTCGGCCGGAGTTAATCAAGCGTGTTGGGTAAGTTGGTGCACCCTTGTAGGGAAGTAATCTATTCGAATAGTCGTGTCCACGGTAACGGACGCTCGGAGTTGTAGCCCGATCTACTACAACTAGAACTAGATACTTGTGATACTAAACTGATATGTTAGCTCTGGGGTCATTTTCTCGCAGGGAGTCGAGGAAGGATCTCTAGGCATTGCTAATATATACTTGTTACTATATGTTAAGTTACTCTACTCTCTTATGTTGCTGTAAGATGCTAGTCTTTGATAGGCTAGGCCTTACCCCTCTACTCTGGCATTTTGCAATATAATCCACAGATACAACCCCTTCCCATTAATACCGATGCATATTTAGCTTAGATCTGATGTAAGTCTTGCAGGTACTTTGGATGAGTACTCATAGTTGCCTTGGCACCTTCTTCCCCTTTACCCGAATGTTGCGATTAGATGACGGAGCCTAGGAGCCAGCTGATCCCGCTGATGACTACTACTACTGTTGGGGAACGTTGCAGAAAATTAAAAATTTTCCTACGGTTTCACCAAGATCCATCTATGAGTTCATCTAGCAACGAGTCAAGGGAGAGTGATTGCATCTACATACCATTGTAGATCGCGTGCGGAAGCGTTCAATGGAACGGGGTTGATGGAGTCATACTCGCCGTGATTCAGATCATCAGAGATTCTAGCACCGAACGGACGGCACCTCCGCGTTCAACACACGTACCGAACATCCACATCTCCTCCTTCTTGATCCAGCAAGGGGGGAGGAGAGGTTGAGGGAGATGGCACCAGCAGCAGCACGACGGTGTGGTGTTGATGGAGCTGCAGTACTCCGGGCAGGGCTTCGCCAAGCGTTATGGAGGAGGAGGAGGTATTGGAGAGGGAGAAGGAGGCAACCAAAGGCATGGGGTGAAAGCCTCCTTCCCCCACTATATATAGGAGGGCCAAGGGGGGGGGGGGCTGGCCCTAGGAGATCAATCTCCTAGGGTGGGGCGGCGGCCAAGGGGGGTTTCCCTCCCCCCCAAGGCACCTAGGGGTGCCTTCCACTAGTAGGACTCCTCCCCCATGGAAACCCTAGGCGCATGGGTCTAGTGGGGCTGGTGCCCTTGGCCCATGTAGGCCAAGGCGCACCCCCTACAGCCCATGTGCCCCCCCGGGGCAGGTGGCCCCACCCCGTGGACCCCCGGGACCCTTCCGGTGGTCCCGGTACAATACCGATAACCCCGAAACTTGTCCTGATGCCCAAAACAGGACTTCCCATATATAAATCTTTACGTCCGGACCATTCCGGAACTCCTCGTGACGTCCGGGATCTCATCCGGGACTCCGAACAACATTCGGGTTACTGCATATACATATCCCTACAACCCTAGCGTCACCGAACCTTAGGTGTGTAGACCCTACGGGTTCGGGAGACATGTAGACATGACCGAGATCGCTCTCCGATCAATAACCAACAGCGGGATCTGGATACCCATGTTGGCTCCCACATGCTCCACGATGATCTCATCGGATGAACCACGATGTCGAGGATTCAAGCAACCCCGTATACAATTCCCTTTGTCAATCGATATGTTACTTGCCCGAGATTCGATCGTCGGTATCCCAATACCTCGTTCAATCTCGTTACCGGCAAGTCACTTTACTCGTACCGTAATGCATGATCTCGTGACCAGACACTTGGTCACTTTGAGCTCATTATGATGATGCATTACCGAGTGGGCCCAGTGATACCTCTCCGTCATACGGAGTGACAAATCCCAGTCTCGATCCGTGTCAACCCAACAGACACTTTCGGAGATACCTGTAGTGCACCTTTATAGTCACCCAGTTACGTTGTGACATTTGATACACCCAAAGCACTCCTACGGTATCCGGGAGTTACACGATCTCATGGTCAAAGGAAAAGATACTTGACATTAGAAAAGCTCTAGCAAACGAACTACACGATCTCACGCTATGCTTAGGATTGGGTCTTGTCCATCACATCATTATCCCAATGATGTGATCCCGTTATCAATGACATCCAATGTCCATAGCCAGGAAACCATGACTATCTATTGATCAACGAGCTAGTCAACTAGAGGCTTACTAGGGACATGTTGGTGTCTATTATTCACACATGTATTACGATTTCCGGATAATACAATTATAGCATGAATAAAGACAATTATCATGAACAAAGAAATATAATAATAATGCTTTTATTATTGCCTCTAGGGCATATTTCCAACAGTCTCCCACTTGCACTAGAGTCAATAATCTAGTTACATTGTGATGAATCGAACACCCATGGAATTCTGGTGTTGATCATGTTTTGCTCTAGGGAGAGGTTTAGTCATCGGATCCGCTACATTCAGGTCCGTATGTACTTTACAAATCTCTATGTCTCCATCTTGAACATTTTCACGAATGGAGTTGAAGCGACGCTTGATGTGCCTTGTCTTCTCATGAAACCTGGGCTCCTTGGCAAGAGCAATAGCTCCAGTGTTGTCACAGAAGAGCTTGATCGGCCCCGACGCATTGGGTATGACTCCTAGGTCGGTGATGAACTCCTTCACCCATATTGCTTCATGTGCTGCCTCCGAGGCTGCCATGTACTCCGCTTCACATGTAGATCCCGCCACGACGCTCTGCTTGCAACTACACCAGCTTACTGCCCCACCATTCAAAATATACACGTATCCTGTTTGTGACTTAGAGTCATTCAGATCTGTGTCGAAGCTAGCGTCGACGTAACCCTTTACGACGAGCTCTTCGTCACCTCCATAAACGAGAAACATTTCCTTAGTCCTTTTCAGGTACTTCAGGATATTCTTGACCGCTGTCCAGTGTTCCTTGCCGGGATTACTTTGGTACCTTCCTACCAAACTTACGGCAAGGTTTACATCAGGTCTGGTACACAGCATGGCATACATAATAGAACCTATGGCTGAGGCATAGGGGATGACACTCATCTCTTCTATATCTTCTGCCGTGGTCGGACATTGAGCTGAGCTCAATTTCACACCTTGCAAAACAGGCAAGAACCCTTTCTTGGACTGATCCATTTTGA